GAGATATATGCAAGTACACACTGATATTACATAAAACATCAAGACAGAATCATGTACCAAAATATATCTCCTCCCAAGGATAAAATGTAGTGATTTAAGTCCATTCCTATATGCAATGCATGTTGCAGGATAAGAGTCTACATTTTCAGCTCTAGACAAGTAAGACCCAAGAGAAACACCTTCTTTTCTCGATCAGTGACTTAGTTGGGAATGATGGACACAAATCCTGCTCCTACTGAAATCCTTGGGAGTTTTGCTCACTGGAAACTAGATTAGACCTCGTCTGACAAGAATTGTGAATAACTAATTCAGCACACGTGTTTGTGAATGAAGAGATCCTTCTGTAAGAGACAGGGTGGCTACACAAACAAGTTACCACAAGGTAAGTTACTGGGTGAGGCACTGTAAATTTGTACCCTAGCTAACCTTGGGGTGACATCCTTGTGTAGCTGTACTCAAAACTGGTGTGCTGACATGCAGTGTGAAAGGGTTTTTATACTGTTGCTGGCAACTAAAACAGACCAATTATTTTTTTCAAGTGTGTGACTTTAATTCAAGAACAAAATGATTGCACAATCATGTATGTGTGTTTGCATGTTTGTAAAAATCAGACCAATGACACACTGTGCGCCTTTTTGTTTCACTGTGGTATGTTAAAGCAGCCTTATTTTTTGACTGGTATGACATGCATTCTGCAAAAGAGCTTCTAACTCTGTCGTTTTCAAGGTTGCCATAATGTTACTTAGTTTTTTTTACAGGGGAAAAGTGCTACCTCTTTCTGCATGAGAAAATGATGATAACTTGCTGGAGATTGTATGCTGTTCACACTGTGGTCCCAGAAAATAGCAAAAGACCAGGTATTAACTGAGATTCAGATCCAGCTAAGCACATAACCACATGCATAAAGTTAAACATGTGTTTAAGCACTTTTGCTGAAGCAAGGCCTTACAAAATCTGAGAATTTTATAAGCAATTGTTTAAATGATTGGTGAACTACTTGGCATTGGTGTTTGATCCTTAGTTATTACCTGCTCTAATATAGAATTTCTAAATGTTCACAACTTGATAGGGGTGAGACCACAGGTGAGAAGTTTTAATGGGCTGTATTCTGACATATTTGCTAGCTATGATGCTGCACTGGAAGTATATTGCACTAGTTATTTCCATTACAGAAGTTGATGTAATGCAGCTAGTTACTATGGACATCAAACCCCTCCTCTTTCCATAGACAAGTCATAACAGGAGAAGAAAAATGGTTCCTGTAACGGCAGCACAACAGCTGTTAGCCCTAGTGCTATGAAAATCCAATGCATCTCCATTACTTGTCCTTGCTAGGGCCCATCACCCTGAAAATACACCCACTCTCCTGCTCCCACTCTGAGCACAAAATATTGAAAAAGGTTGTGTTTTCTCCATTAGAACAACACTGACTACGTGCCAATAAATACATACAGGACTGACAGTGGCTCTGAGCACACTCAGGGGGTGCACTAGACAGCACCTGCCTTACAGATTTGGGGCATTTCGCTCACATGGAGGAAGAGGTAGGGCTTGTTTCCAGTATGATGCTCCCTACTAGGGTCAGAGGCTTTGCTGAAATACCCTGATTGGTTGCTGAGGTCTGCCAAGCACAGGGAGGAGAGAATGACCAGATATCTGCTATTATTCATTCTTCAACATTCAGACAGAGAAGTATTTCAAAAAGGAAATATGGAATAAATATTTTTCTGCCCATATCTCCTATAAACCATGTTTTCCAATTAAAACATGTTTTAGATTTTTCCTTAAAGGGGTATTTTCCTGTGTAGCAATAGAAATAATTCAATAGGTCTAAAACCCAGTCTTTACGTTTATGGAGAAGGAGGCAATCTGCTTGAAAAAAGCAGCATACTACAGCTTTGGTATACATTCCATTTATATATACAGCGCTCAGGTGTACTCAGTCTAATAACAGTGTATTCCAGCCTTATTTGCTGACCATTGACTTTGATTAGGTGCATGAGTACAGGGCCATGGATCAGACACCCAAGCAGCACATTTGCAGAATGAGAAGCAAGGTACTGTGATCAGAAACGAATCTGGGCATTAAAAGACATGGTAGCAGCACTGTTTCAAGGTCTTATGCAGCTGTCTTAAATGTACATCTGATTACACAGCAGAGGATAAACTGAATCAGGAATTCATACTGTATACCTGTTTTAACCTCAACATATTAATAAACATGGAGCCAACCCCATCTGAGCCCCCCAATTATATGGGCGCATCTACACATGCCGCTATGGCGCCATTGTTACTGAGCCATCATTTAGTACTAAAAGACGGTGCAGTAGCAGCTGGTGCTGCACACAGTTATTTTTGGGCACTATGTTGCAAAAGCGACGCACTATAACAGGGGAGCGCGTGTCACTACGGCAATGTAGCTGCATCATCACAGGTTTTGCCACAGATGCTACATCGCCACAGCGCATTGCTACGGTGATGTAGCAACACACTAAACGTGCCTTATATAAACTGTACACATGACTCAGAGCTATTTACTTCTCTCCATCTGCAAGTCAACTCCCATTAGTACTAATGGGATTCCCAACATACAGATTTAGAGAAGCATATGCCTTCAAGGCTTTTCCACTCAAGATAAAGATGTGTTCTATGTGCAACATCCTATTAGACAAGAGTGGAACACAGCAAGTCCAAGGTCAGCCTTTACAATTGCTTATGTATTATACAAACATGGAAACACTTTCTCAGGTATAATAGATCTGAATTTAATTCCTTTGGCAACAACTGGAGAAATTGTGCCACAAGGAAACCAAGAAAATAATACTGTAAGTGCTTCCAGTTATTTTTAGGATAATAAAATATAGCTTCCTTCTGTTGCTTAAACCCACTCCTTTGCAAACTAGCATGTGTGCCCTTCTGTGTTGTTTATATGGAGAACCTGCAGATGAATTAAAATAGATGTCTATGCTCCACTGTTATCTTGAGGATTATTTCTTTAATTTGGGGGGGGGGGAGGGGCTAGAAACACAGAGATCAAAAGGGACCTCAAGGGATCTTCTCCAACACCCTTCACTGAGGCAGGATCAAGAATTAGGATGTGGCTGCACAACATGTTACTCCAGAGTATTAACAAAAGTACTCTGGAGGAAAAGTGGAACATACACATGATATAACAGCAGTTTTCCTGAAAGAAATGTTTTTCTCTAATACAAAGTTATTTCCAAAGAAATCAGAAGCAAATTTACTCTGGAGAAAATTACTCTGGTATACATGTTGTGTACCCACTACCATTGTTAACTTCACCTTAGAGTAGCCATCTACTCAATTCAAATTGTCTCCATTGCCACGCACTGGCCAAACACTGTAGCAGAGCCAAATTTAGGCAGCCAGTTTTAGAGCTAAACATAGGGCTGCTCTTTACCACAGAGTAAATTAACTGCAGAGTTGAATCCAGGTTTAATTA